AAGTGCCAAATATATTATATAAGATTAAATATGATACCATGGCACATTTATTAACATAAGTGAGACTTCGATACCAGCTGTTAAGCTTTAGTAAAATGGTCAGATTGACTTTGCTTTCGAAGAGGCTAGTCAACTTTTACTGTGAGTGCTTGCATTCACAACTAGTAGTGATACAATTTATCATGCGTTAGTGCATGCTAAAGTGAAATCTTATTAAAAGCCTTAGGATATCCAGTCCAACAGTATTTCACAATGAATTTATTAGTTTTGGATACTCGAAGTGCAATTTAAGATGGCAAAGATAAAGGTAATCGAAGCATTAAAATAGATCAAACTCATGATGCCTTCTTAGAAGACGATAGATTAATTACTTCCTCTGCTTTTAATATTTTTTAAACCCATTCTTAAGTTTGTGAACAATTTCCTTTCGTTTTATGTTATATACATAATATATATTGAATAATAATTTATAATTATATAACAGCTCGACATTTTCTTCGTTATAATCGACACGAATTCAAAAAATTGACTAAATCCTAAAATTGTCTAAGCTCGATACCTGTAAATGTTCTGGGTTCACGTTTAGTGTGAGGTATTGATAAAGTACGGCTCACCTTGAGTAGGAAAGCCCTCGGTTGAACTGACGGATCCAGTGCCTGCTGTAGGCATTTGCGAGACTAGCTCACCCTCAGTAAGGATATCTGTGGTGACTCGCTCAGTAACCCGCTCCACAATACGTTTCGTCGTGATGATGCGTGTAATAACGCTTCCATCCGGCTGCATCTCATCAATTTCCCGAACCTGTGCAGAGACGGAGAGAGAATATATATATACATATATATAATTAGTAATATCGCTACTGGTCTTATTGGTAATAAGATAATCAATAAGCGCTCCTTTAAGGGTGACAAGTAGCATGACAACTTCTTGGAGCCAGATCAACCAATGATAAGGAAATAATCAGCTGCATTCACGTATGAGAGTGCGGATCATGATGAAATGTAAGCGGTGCTAATGAATACAAGTTGGTAGGCTCCCAAAGTGGGTGTGCCAACAGGTGGTGAATGGATATGGCTTAGCCAAAGTTTATTTCAACAAAGATAATATAGCTATACGGAAATCTCAAGTGAACTCTATAATAACGAATAAGCCAGCACACAAGGTAGCGGCTCACCAACACATACTGCTCCAAGAAATTTACAATACCGCTCTTATAAACTTTTGTAAATACATTATTTATATCTGATAAAAATTTTTTTACTCATTTGTCTGAATAATTAAAACATTAACGTTTATGCTGAGTTTTATTTGTTTTAATACATCAGCTCTGCTACTTGGTGCTCCCTGTGCTTGATTTATGGACTGCCTTTTTTCGTTGCCGTCTCCCTTGTTTGTTTTCTTTTTTTACCCTTTATTCTCCTTGAATTCCAGTTCTCATATGTTTCGTTTTCTTTACATGTTCCATCATTTTTTATAATTTTATGAATTAGCATTATGTATCTATTTTTATTGAACGGCAACAAATTACTCGAGTAAGAATTGGTTCCTGTCTCCGACCTATTAGGAACCATTATTTCTGAATACTAATCTAGCCACCTTGGGTCGCTTTAGGTTATTTATTTAATAATAATGGTTTTTTTCCAAAATAATGAATGGGCCCCGCTACGTCACCTATCCCTGTTCATCGAGAACTAAGTTTCGAGTTTTAAGATTCCCCTCAGCACCGCCAACCGGTCATGGAGCATTGTTGTGCGCAGTATGATGATGGGTTTTTAATGTTATACGGTCGCAGGCACTATCGTAATGTGCGCGAATAAGTTTCGAATCCCAAGGGTGCTAAGTTCTGATGCCGGAAATCCAGTTTACCCCAAATCGTGGGACTTTTTATCAGGAAGTCTACTCATATAACTGAGAACTACTCTATCAGTTAGCAAGCCACTATAATCCTCATAGGGTAAGATTCGAAGCCTACGCCGGTCATCTTATACTGCTTTGTCCATCATACTGCTTCCAAAGAGAGTATTCGCCAACTTTGGTTTTGGATATTATTTTATACGATGTTGCTAGTTCTATTATATTTAATTATATATGAATCATTTCATTAATGGTGGTGAGGCTTTGCCTCAATTAAGGAGAATTTGCAGGGAAGTGTTAACTTGTGGTATTGTCATATCTAAGTCGTGCTGATTCCGGATTACTCCAGAAATCTCTAATTGCCAGCACCAGATAGTGGTCTCTACAGGACTGGGCCGCATGTATAAAGC